TGAAATATTTCAGTTAGTGTGCAATGAATCTAAAATATATGAATGTTAAATTTTCATCATGACATTATGGAAAATAATGAACTTTATCACAATATGCTAATATTTTGAGAAGGACCTGTATGTGAGGGGACCCACACACATTGGGTTATCTAAAGTTATGTGTGAAAGAGTCCAATATCTGTGTTCCACTGGTGCGTGCCGGTGTCACAAGGTACTGTAATGCCTGGAGCATAATATGTTGATCCTATCTTTATGTACTCTGTCTCTGTCAGCCGAAACCTTTACACTAGAGTTCCAAAGAGAAATGGGCTGGTGATGATTATCAGCTGGGGATGATTTTCAGTAACTTCAACACTGTGCGGTGTGGAAGTTGTACTGCCAGAAGACTCAGCTGGTTTCAGCATAAAGGAGGTGTTTAAAAATTAAATGAGGCGAAGCATAAAAACATTTCACTTCACTACAATGGTGAATGTTTCAAACAAAAAGAGCATTCTGCCACACAATGTCAAGTCAGACCTGTTAGGAATGTTTTGTCAAATAGACGAGGGAGCAGACTGATTCAGAGCCAACTTCACCTGTAAGGTTGAACGTATTACAAGATAGTTGCTCTATCAGATAGTTGTATCTATCTGAGTCCACTTCTCTTTGTCATGAAACATACTGGATTGGACAATGTTTTAGAAATGTTAAGTTTAACTGAAGAATTCAGGGGTTTGCCTTCTTTAGAAAATACACACATGGAGCTATGGTTACAGTTAACAATGCTAATAATGCAAATTTTAAAAATATAAGACAGTTAAAGACTGCTAAAGACAGTTTTAAATGACAACTTTTAAAAAAATGTCCAGCTCATGCTTGGTTTTAATTGGTAATTTGTCCCTGTCACTCAGATGCTGGCACATCATCTTGGCTACTAATACAGTGCCTTGCGAAAGTATTCGGTCCCCTTGAAATGTTCAACCTTTTGCCACATTTCAGGCTTCAAACATAAAGTTATAAAATTCAAATTTTTTGTGAAGAATCAAGAGTGGCAAGAAGAAAGCCATTTCTCAAAGATATCCCTAAAATGTCTGGTTTAAAGTTTGCCACAAGCCACCTGGGAGACACACCAAACATGTAGAAGAAGGTGCTCTGGTCAGATGAAACCAAAATCAAACAGTTTGGCCACAATGGAAAACGATATGTTTGGCGTAAAAGCAACACAGCTCATCACCCTGAACACACCATCCCCACTGTCAAACATGGTGGTGGCAGCATCATGGTTTGGGCCT